ATGTGATGAGTGGCGCTGGTGTCCATGAGCCAGGTGGGTTCACGGAGGGTCATTGTATCAAAGTGGTGGGCTAAGGCCGTGGGGGTGAGGGGTTGGGGTTGGGCCGAGGAGGACCCGTAGGTGTAGGGGTGGGGTTGAATTGGGTTTTGGGGATTCGGGTATATGGGGGGCTGTGGGTAGGGGTTGGGTGGAGGGGTGGGCTGATATGGGTAAGTGGGGGAGGTGAAATGGGCCTGGGCAGGGAAGGGATGAGAGGTGGGGCGGGGGCCCAGTAATCCTGGGCCGGGGTTTTGGTAAGGGGTCTGCCAGGGTCCAAAGCTCGTTGTAGCAGTCCGGGAGTTGAATCCAGAGTTACAACCTCGACCGCGACCGCGGTTCGGTCGTCCACCGCGTCCACCATAGCCGTATTCGCGTCCGCTGTTGCCCTGAGGTTGTCCGCCATGAAGCTGTCCGCCAAAATGCTGTCCGCCACTACTGCCGCCCTGCTGCCCGCCGCCTGCAAGCGTACCACCGCGGCCCTGCTGCCGGAAACCGGCGTGCCCACCGTGGCCGAGGGTGGCCAGGGAAGTACCCTCGTCGCCGGATGCTGTTTGTGGGCGACGTTGTCCTTCGAGGAGGAGAAGTGCAGATCGGGTCTCCATGAAAGTTGCCGGGGGTTTTTGGAATTGCAGAAAAGACGCCTGGGAGCCGAGATCCTCGGGAAGGCCACGTAGGGTTTGCAAGACGAGCTGATTTTCTGTCACCGGGGCATCCACGTCATCCAACCAGTCGGCAATATTCCTCAAAGTTTGACAGTAAGTAGCGATAGTGGATGTGCCCTTGACGGTGTTGTAGAAGCGTTGCTCCAATTGCATGGCTCGAGCGGCTTTATTGTCATGAAACCGATTATGGATGGCTTTCCAAAGATCCGCGGCAGAGGTGGTGGAGGAGATAATGAGATCCGAAACTTCGTCATTAACGGTAGATAGAATCTACCCTTGAATAAGAGCATCAAGTTGCAACCAATCAACATCA